TGTTCTCACCCTTTACTTACCTTCAGGGTCTCTAAAATATATTAAAAATGTCCCAGCAGTTCAGGACATTCCCGCTGTGTATTCTTCCTGGGTCTCTTGGTTTTCTTCCCGGTTTTCCTGATGGGACAACAAGAAAGTAAGCGTAGCCATGAAGAACACGGGCACGTGTCTGCTTCCCTCATCATTCTGCCCGCCGCACACTCACTTTTCCTTCCACTTTGTCTTTTCTGCTGCTGCTTCTGCACAGATGCAGAGGAGGAACATGCTGACACCTGTGAGAAGGAGAACAGTTGTGTATGTCCAGAGACTCAGTGCAGGAAAAGTCCTATCTGGTCAGGGAGTGCCCAGAGCAGACCCAGATGTCACTGGGAGTCCCTCCAGCATGGTGGGGTCCAGCTCATCTGACCTCAGCCCAGCTCCCCTCCTGGACCCCTGAAGGTTCAGCAAGATTCAAAGCTGCAGCCTGGGGGCCAGTAAATGGCAATGCCAAGGCAGCGGCAGGAGGGCTGGGGAGGGTTTATCGACACTGAAGACTCCGAGGACCTCAACTGTGGATAAGACCAGGTCCTTCAGAACAATCACAAGAGAGGAAAGAGGAAAAGGACCAGAGCTAAGAAAGGAGCTCAGGAGTCAGAAAGAGGATAAAAGAGAGAGAGCATATAAGAGGAGATCAATTACTCAAGCTGGTGGCCTGTAATGGTGGAGTCTTCCAGTTCTGGGAAGCAAGCATCAGAGTGTCCAGAGGAGAAGCGGTGATGGGGCGCATAAGAAGGAAAGGAGAGTTATTGCTGAGAGAACTCCTCAGACTCCGCTGTCCCAGGGCTGTGGAGCCAACCCCAGAGCCTCTGATGTGCCCATTTCTGGAGACTTCTCCACAGCCTGTATCATTTCCTCTGTGCTACGAGGGAGGGACCTCACTTCCCTACACACTTTCCCAGCCCTCATATTCCATAACAGCCAAGGGAGGGGAAGCCCTGTCATTCTGTTCCTCCGCAGGCAGGCGGCCGCCCTTCTTTCACAATGTCGCATGACGAGAATCCTCCTCCTCCTCCTGCAGGGCCTGCTTCTGTTCCTTCCATGAATCCCATTTCCTTCTCCTTGTGGACCTCCACCAGTCCTACTGGTCTCCAATAGAAGAACATCGGAAAGAAGGCCAAGGCTGCACTGCCAGCCTCCAGTCAACACATGGATCACACCCTGGCCTGCAGCACCTGCCCAGGCCTGGGTTGTGTTGGGGCCTTTGGGAGGCAATGATGGCCAATGCCACAGATTCAGTCAGGCCTGGGGTTGTGTTGGGGCCCGTGGGAGGCGATCATGACCGATGTCCACAGGCCTGGGGTTGTGTTGGGGGCTGTGGGAGCTGATGATGAATGACGTCACAGATACAGTGACTGTTCTATGCCTGGAATGACCCTGAGACGTGGAAAATATTCAGTCACAAACGAATCCCACCAGCTTCTGAGTATTTGGAAACAATGGAACAGAATTCAAGATAAAGCTCTCTTCTTGTCCCAGTTGCTTTAATCTGCAGGTGAGGCCAGCAGTTGTCAGCACAGGAATGAGGGGCCTCCTGGGTTTGCCTGAGCTGTGGGAAGACTAGGGAGGGTGGGGCACTGGCAGGCCTGGACACAGAGACAAGCTGGGCCTGGGACTGAGTGTGGGGAGCAGGACAAGGCTGTTGGGCCAGAGAGGAGGGTGTCACAAGACAAGTGACCCAAGAGGTCGCCCTGGGCCCAGTGGATTCTAGGACCAGGCTACAGGAGGGCGAGCCACTGCCTACAGCACACAGCAGCCCTCCACACATATCCCCGAGGATTCCTGCCAGCCACAGAGGGCCTTGAGCTAATACACTCGGGCCTCTCCAATGAAAGCCAATGTAGGTTTCATTCAAAGCCCACGGATTTGGATTGATGGGGATTGGGTGAGGAGGAGGCCAAAACTGTGCCTGGGGGTCAAGTGTTCCGCCCTGAGGACTCCAGGATGCTGGGCACACGCAGGAATCCCAGAGGAAGGACTCTGTGTCATCCCACCCAGGAGCACTTAGAGCAGCAGCAGACGCTGAGGACAGAACAGGAAGATGCTGTGTCCCGAGAGTGTAGAGAAAAAGGGTGGGCTCCTTCGCTCCTGGCACACGAGTGAAGCTGACTTTGTCTTCAGGATCACTTAGCACCTGTGAGAGGGGCTGTGTCCCACCCCACACTCAGCGTTACACCTGCACACTCATCCTGTCATCTCCATTCACAACAAAACGCTGCCTCATCAAACCCAGGGCTCTGGTGCTTGCTGTGGCAGACTGGATCTGTCTTGCAAATGTAATCTTTTAAACACCAGAGCAAGAAATGATGGTGACAACACAACTCACACAAAGCTCATGAGAACAAAACTCTACAACTTTCATTAAGATACATAAACCAAATCACACTTCTACACCTATTTCCTTTCATATTTAGTCACTTCACTGATCCCATCCTAGGCTCCAAAACAAGTGTCACCCAATCCCCAAGAACCCTCCTCACTGGTCAACCCTGGAGTGTCAGTCCCTACCTGACCAGTCTATTTCCTCCTGGATGGATCCAGAGGTGGTGCCCATGAGCCCAAGTACAGAGACACAAACATCAGCACTACTGCTCAGTCCACGGTGACTCTCCCTGGGCTCTGTGAGCTCAGGGGCCATTAGGAAGGCCCTGGTCACAGTTGGGAGCCTTCAGGTGAGACAGAGAACCTGAATAACTCTAACTGTTCACTGACACTGGCTCAGAGCATCTCTTACCTCCAATCTTTGAGAACCCTAGATTCAGCCTTGATGCACATGCACTGAGTCAGGTGAGTGCAGTGAACAGAATGTGGGCCAGACTCACAGCAGCTGCTTCCCAGGTGATTCAGGGAGAATGGAGATGCTCTCTTAAGAGCAGACATTTGGCAGCTGAGAACTTATAGTATGGCTCTTGTGAGAAGGTTATGAATTTTTCACTTATTTAAACATGAATGGGCTCATATGCCATGGAGGACCACAATGGAATGCACAGGTCTAAACCCAAAGGTGAGGGAGATGTGACTCTCCCCCCTTGCTGATTCCTGGCAGAGTGGTTTGCTCTGATCTGATCATTCATGGCTGGGTACTTCAGGGGCACAGGAACAAGCTCCAGTCCCTGTGATGTGAAGGATGCCACAACAAGACGTGAAAACGCCTGGTCCAGCAAAGGAGGATTCATCACAGAAAGAGAGCATCTTCTGGGTAAGGAGAAAAGCTGAAACCAAGGCAGCCAGAGTAGAATGAGGGAAACTTCAGTGACTTCAGGAGCCCCCTATTCTCCTGTGACCTTGGATCAGAACCCACTCAGGTTTCCAGATTACCATGAGAAACAACAGATTGAAGGAGATGAGCAGAGAGCCTTTCTTACACTGGCGCTGGATCTCAGCAAAGGGGGTTGGAAGCACTGGATCATTAATACTGGGGCCCAAGATGGGCTGCCCAGGGTCTCGAGCTCTGAGATGAAGCAACGAGGAGGACATAGTCCTTGCCTCCCAGTGACCAGCCACGGCCAGGATTCCTCCACACATAAGTAAAACCTAACAGAGTTTGAGACTAATACTTCCAAGACTATCTCAGAGAAACAGGCAAAGTGATGTCTCAAGGGTCACACGGGAGAGCTGCAAGGACCACCTGGACTCCGCTCCCTTTGCTGAGCTCACCTTGCACTGAAGCAGGGTCCCTTCTCACCTCCCCTGCAACTACAGTGTGGGGCAGCCATCCTGCCTGAAAGCTGACACTCCCTTCAGTCACACAGGATTCCGGCCAAATCACATCTGGCTAACAGCACCACACGAGACCGGCTGTCAGGCCACGCCAGAAGCAGGTGAAAAGTAAGAGCTGATCTCTGTCCTGGCCAGAGACCAGGCCTGGGAACTGCTCTGTGTCTGGGCTGACCCTGAAGTCCATCCCTGCCGATCATGTCCTCTCTGGGCCACATTGGCTATTTCGAGCTCACCTGTTCTCTGCCTCTTATTAATTTCTGGTGGTGCCACTGCCATCGACATACAGGAAATAGAGAAGACAAGAAACAACAAAGTAGCTTCTCTCTTCAGGCTCTCAGGAAGACGGGCAGACAGTGCTAACGCCAGCTATGAAGTCGATCTCGACTGCTTCCTCAGCTGGAATATGAACATCCCGGTCACACCAGGTGATGACGAAGAACTGACTTCCTGATGTTGCACCTCGGCTTCCCCCCGTGGCTCTGCTGCCCTCATGCCTTCCTTCTGCTCCTCCAAATCAGAAATTCTCAGGCCCAGGCCAAGGCTACCTGCTGTTCCTCTCAGAGCCCACTGGGCAGCTGTCTGGGAATTCTTAGAACCTCAGTGTTGCAATCTGATTTGTGCTTTGATCACACACAGCAGAAGGCCCGAATACCACACACAAAAAAACTGTATTCTAAAGATTAGAGATGACTGTGGAATTGCGTTATGAGGAGATAATTTCTGAGGTTAGTGGGGGACATTTTAAAATCACAGCAGCCTCATTCTTTTAAAATGTGGGTTAAGTATGGACATCTACAGAGCAATCAAATTCAACTCACATACAATGTATTTCCACCAAACGCGGGCTCCCAAAAGAAACTCAATCCAGAACTGGGTTAATTTTATTTTCATATGACCTTAAGCCAACCACCTTGACTTGTTTTCTGCAAAGGCCTTCAGGAGCAAACAAAACCTTGTCCACGGTGGGCTTTTAATGGGGACGTCCTGGAGCCTCTGCTGTCCCACAGCCACATTTGTCTCTCCCCACCTCATAACACGTGAGTCACCCTCCATCCTCCGAGGAAGGCAAGTGCTCATCCTGCCACTACACTCCTATAGGGCAAGCCCTTTGGTTACCTTTTCATGATGCTGTGTTTCCTGAGCACAGAACACGGAAACCAGGAGGAGGCTGCATGACAGAGGTTGAGCCTCTACATGACCTTGACATTATGTATTTTGGACACTCAAGAGTTACACCACATGAATTCAAAAAGACACGCAACAACTGAATGTGCACAACCTCACCCTATCCTCAGAGAATGCAGTTGCTCCCAGGGACCACAGAATGTGACCATCATGCTCCATCTGGAACAAGCATTTCTCCCATCACAGCCTAGGTCCTCATTCATGAGAGGAAGCTCCACTCCAGGCTGCCTGTCTACGGGAAGGCCAGCGAGGCAGTGGCACATTCCTCATCATCTGGGTGACTCATCAGTGTGAGAGCGGCTCCGCAATACGTACCCTCCGGTGGAACTCCCGAGGATTTCTGTAATGACAGAAAATAAATTGCTATGAGCATCAGACCATGCTGTGTCCTGTGTGCACAGGACTTTTCTTCACTTAGTGACATTAGAAAACAAGATGAAAACCAGTGTTCAAAGGAACCCAAAAGAAGAACAGAAGAAATCGACTCATACTAAAGACACAAATTTTTCTCAGAGGATGTTTCCTCTCAAGTCCATGTTGGCTGGCAAGTAAGTGATTTTGTTCCAAAGAGAGAAAGACATCGGTAAGGCAAAGGCTCACTGCCACACAGTGTGTGACTGATGCTGTCATTTCCTCCCAGTCTTAAATCAAGCTTCATTGGGGACAGACTCTCACAATTCCCCCCAAGGACACTGTGTAACTAATCTAAGATATATACTGTCAGATTCTCATATCTTAATTTAATCCAAATAAAATAAAGCTAAGAAAGCAACAGTTTTTCTCAGAGAAATGCAGGTGGCCTGACCTTCACATCCTCTGGGTCCTCCTCCTCTCCCTTGTCACTGGACCGCTCCTGTAGTAGATGCTCTGAAAGAATTAGGAGGATACAGAGTGACTGTCAGCACCTTGGTGGTGTTGCTCATGAACAATTCAGTAACATTACTTGAGGTGGGTGTGGGAGGAGGATAGCAGAACAGGAGAGAGGCAGGGAAGAAAGGGAATCAGGGCCTTTGGCTTTCTAGCTCCAGGTCACCTCCTAAACATGAAATAGCCAATTTTAAACAGGGCACACCAGGCAGTGCAAACTGTGCGTCCCTAGCAGCCTCTTAGGCTCCTCCCTCCTAATCTGACCTGAGCTAATGTGCCCTCTTATTGATCCCTGCCAAAGTCATTTCCTCCTCAGAATCCACGTGTTGCTGCTCTGCATATTATCCCTTCTAGAAGATTTTGTACTGAATAAGAAGAAAGCTTTCATTAAAGAGATTTAATTCTAGCCAAAAGATTTCATTAACTTTCTGTATAAGGCAATTAAACCAAGATTTGAAAATACTCAATTATCCTACCATTTAACGATGACCCCTATTTAGCATCTGGTATTTGTCCTTCCACTCTTCGTTTTCAACATGATGTGTGTGCACCATGGAGTGCACTGCTCCTCAGGCTCAAACTGACTCCAGCACGGGGACAGCCTGTCATGGGGAGCAGCGAGGGGGGCGGGGAACGGGCAGTGACTCTCTCCAACCCAGCTCTGCAGGAGATTCCAGCAGGGAAAGTGGGTGCCAGGCTAACACCCAGGTTGATCCTTGAAATTTTATTGGATGCTATGTCTTGGGATTGGGTTCCTCTGAATTTCTAAGACTTGCGGTGATTATCTCATTAAATACAATAGAATATCCCACTGATTATTGTCTGCATTTGAACAGGAGCTGAGGGATGATGTCACCACTGTAGGTCAAAAGCCTGTGGACTCTGTGTGTTTTACATTAATGATCACACTGAAGCCCACTGTACAATGTACCTGCTCAAACCAACCCTGGGTGAGCTGACCATTGACACCATCCAGTCATGATAGTGTTTGGGATCTGAATAGGTTTTCATTCTCCCAGGTGCATACAGAAGTGCTGGAATAAATTGGCCTAGCAAGAAATTATACTAGGGCTTTGTGATAAATTCAATGTAGTGGCTCATGGCATTAACCTTCCACTCATTCCCGACTTCACATGTGCCTCTTCCATTTAAAAGACCAAGAGCTTGGGAAATTCGTCTCTGCACCATGTCCATCTGAGGACTGGGGATAGTGAACTTATGTTCAGGTACAGCTGTGCTGGAGGATGAATGGGTTGATGTATGTAAACCGTGCAGTGGTGATGGAAATTTTCTTGAACATTGATCCTTGTGTTGTGCTTTGAACATGGGAGTATGTTTTCTGGGGAAATGTACACACACTCCCAAAGACATCCACAATCATTCCATATACGCTCTCTCCTCTGCCCCTCCCAACCCTGATGAACCACCCCACCTTACACGACACTTCTGCTTCCAAGGATGACAGTACCATGGTTACAGTTGTTTACTGGACTCTTAGTAGTTTTTGAAATCAACCTTCCCAAATCTAATTTCTGGCAGAAAGCTCAAACCAGAGTGGCTCTTGAGCAAAAGCAGGCAAAACAGTGTCATCTTTGCAACACTAACATTTTGAACGTAAACAGAGAGATGATCCCAGATACGTACCGTTCGCCAGTGTGGCTGGGTCCACTGGCATCTAGAGAAAAACAAAACACTATGAGGGTCAGACCAGGCTGTGTCCTGTGTGCACAGGCCTTTTCTTCACTTGTTGATGTTAAAGAAAAAACAGATGGTAAATAGTGATTGAGACAATAGCCCTGATATCTAGAAGAAACCTGTGGAAAAGCACAAGATTTTTCTGCAGGATTTTCAGTTGTTTTTGTTTTACAATTCCAAATACTTCTCAAGAAGAAGGCATTTCTCTTGAGGAAAATGCCTGCTGACACACAGTTGTAAATGTGGATGCCATCTGAAACCATTTTTAAGTGGATAACGAACTGTGACATTTGCCCACCAAGAAATTCTGTCAGTCACTTATAGTGTACGTGGTAAGATGTATACATCTTTTTTTTTTTTTTTTTCCCCCGAGAGGCAGTCTCTCTCTGTCACCCAGGCTGGAGTGCCGTGGTGAGATCTCGGCTCACTGCAAGCTCCGCCTCCTGGGTTCACTCCATTCTCCTGCCTCAGCCTCCCGATTAGCTGGGACTACAGGCACCCTCCACCATGCCCAGGTAATTTTTTTTGTATTTTTAGTAGAGACGGGGTTTCACTGTGTTATCCTGGATGGTCTCAATCTCCTGACTTCGTGATGCCCACCTTGGCTTCCCAAAGTGTTGGGATTATAGGCGTGAGCCACCGCGACCGGCCTGTAAGACTTATACATCTTAATTCAGTTGAAACACAGAGAAACCGAGAGAAATACATTTTCCATTTTAGAGGAAGTAAGACGGCTTTACCATGTGAACCCTTGTGGCTTCCTCCGAGGATGTCTGCCCTGGCACATCCTCCTCCAGATCTTCCAGGATACCTGGGAAACAGAGTCACTATAAGCACATGAGCTCCACTGAGTGAATCCCTCAGGTGGTCTTGGAGCTGTGGACCTGGGGCTGGCATGTGTGAAAGGTGTGTTCACAGCACAGACTCAGCTGCTGCCGGTCCATCCTCCATGGTGGAGAGGGAAGGCAAATGGTGAAGGAAGGCATCAGGAAGGCCACAGAAGACAGAGCCTTGGTCCTGTAGCTAAGGCAACCTCTTCAACCTGAAATAACCCATCTCAAACAGGGCCCACCACACAGTGTTTCCCTGTAGCATCTCAGGGCTCCTCCTTCCTAATCTGACCTGAGCTAAATTGCCCACCCTTCTCGATCCCCTTGAGGTCATTTCCCCCAAAGGACCCACATGTGCTGCTGCTGCTGTTCATCATCTCTTCTGAAACATATCGTACTGCATAAAAGTCAGCTTTCTTCAAAAAATCTTAACTCTAGTCAAAAAAAATTATGACTTCACTGAACCTTTGATTCAAAGAGAACTAAACCAAGATTTGAAAATATTCAATTATCCTACCATTTAAAGAGAACCCGCACTTAGCTTATTTGTCCTTCCACTCTTCCTTTTCAACACAATGTATGTGTCCCTGGAGTCAGCTGCTGCTCATGCTCACACTGACTCCAGCACTAGGAAAGCCCATCATGGGGGCAGTAGGTGGGGGGCTAACGATAAGACTCTCCAAACTAGCTGTGCAGGAAGTCCCACCGAGGTGATGGACACCAGAAGAACACCCCAGTTCTTCCTTGAGTTCTTCTTCTGCACTGTGTATTGGATGTGTGGGCTGAATTAGGGCACATGTACACTTGTGGCAATCATGTTATTAAACATAGTAGAATATGTCCCTGATTGTTGTCTGCTTTTTTTTTTTTTTTTTTTTTTTAGATGAAATCTCACTCTGTTGCCCAGGCTAGAGTGCAGTGGCAGGATCTAGGCTCACTGCAACCTCCGTCTCCCAGGTTCAAGTGATTCTCCTGCCTCAGCCTCCTGGGTAGCTGGGATCACTGGCACCTGCTACCACACCCAGTAAATTTTTGTGTTTTCAGTAGAGACAGTGTTAGCCAGGCTGGTCTCAAACTCCTGACCTCAAGTGATTCACCTGCCTCGGCCTCCCAATGTATTGGGATTACAGGCATGAGACACCACACCCTGCCTATTCTCTGCTTTTAAACAGGAGCTGAGGAATAAACCGATCACTGAAGCAAAAGCCTGTGACCTCTCCATGTATGTTTCACATTTCTGACCACACCCAAATCCACCGTAAAACATACCCATTCTAATCCTGGGTTATGCGACCATTAAGACCATTCTATGATGATAGACAGTGCATAGAATTTCTGTATGTATTGTACTTCCACATGCACACCTAGGTGCCCAAAGTCACTGCCAGGCTGATGAGTTATACAACGGCTGTGAGATCAATGCAGGACAGAAGTCCATAGAATCAACCTGCCAACCACTCCTGATTTCACATTTCCCTCCTCTACTGAGAAAGCCAAGACTTTGAGAAATTCATCTCTGCATAACTTAGGACTGAGGATATTAAACTTCAGACAGCTGTGGTGGAGAATCAATGGGTTGATTTATGTAAAGTGTTCAGGGTGATGGACTACTCCTTTTTTTTTTTTTTTTTTTTAAAAAAAAACATATAATCCTTGTGTGTTGCTTTGAACATGCACAAAAACTCCAAAAGACACTCACAATCACTGCCCATAGACTCTCTCCTCCATACCTCCCAAACCTGATGCACACCACCCTTTCACATAAGGGACACCACTTCCTGCAGAGACTACAGGAAGATGGTCACAATTCTGTCACAAAGTCTTACTGTTTTTTCATACCAAACTGCCTAAAACCTCATTTCTCTTAGGAAGCTCCAGAGAAATTCTCCACCAAACGCAGCATAAAAAGTGCCACCTTTCTGAAAAACTAAGATATTTCCTTAGCAAAAAACTAATCCCTGGGGCATGAGGGGAAAGACGAGGGAGAGCATTAGAATAAATACCTAATGCATGCGGGGCTAAAAACCTAGATGAGGGCTTGATAGGTGCAGCAAACCACTGTGACATATTTATACCTATGTAACAAACCTACACGTTCTACACATGCATCCCAGAATTACAAGCAAAATAGAAACAATTAAAAAAGTAAACCCACAACACATACCGTCGTCCTCAAAGTGTACTCTTTTCTGCAATTAGAGAAAAGAAAAACATGATGAGAGTCAGACCACACTGTGTCCTGTGTGCACAGGTCTTTTCTGCATTGTTGACATTAGGAAACCCAATGGAAATAGTGAAAATAGTGAACACGAGGGTCTCATAATAAAGCCTAGAGGACATGTGGAAAGGCACAAGTTTTTTTGTACATGATTTTCAAGTTTATTTTCACTGCATGTTCACCATTATTTTCAAGAAGAAAGCACTTCTACTACCGAATAGCTGGGACTACAGGCGCCCACCACCTCACCCGGCTAGTTTTTTGTATTTTTTAGTAGAGATGGGGTTTCACTATGTTAGCAAGGATGGTCTCGATCTCCTGACCTCGTGATCCGCTTGTCTCGGCCTCCCAAAGTGCTGGGATTACAGGCTTGAGCCACTGCACCAGGCCCAGGCACAAGATTTTTATGCAAGACTTTCAACATTGTTTTGGTTGTATAGTCACAATGTTGTAAGAAGAAAGCTTTTCCCCTAAAAAAATTCTTTCTGCCATACAGTTCATAACTGAAGGTGTCATCTAAGAATGCCATCTGAGATCATTTCTTACCTGGTAATGAACCCTTACATTTTCCCACCAAAAAATTCTTTAAATCATCTATAATACACATGGTAAGATTTTCATATCTCAATTCAAATAAAATAAAAAAGAACCAAGAGCAACAAAATTTCCATCTCAGAAACAGAAAGAAGAACTTACCATGTGAACGCCTGGGACATCCTCAGATGAAGGCTCCCGCGCCAGGTCCTCGTGATCTAGAAAACACAGAGTAGCTGTCAGCATGTTGGTTCCACAGAAGGAATCCCTTAGGCAGCCTTGGGTGCTGGGGACAGGGGGATGGCGTGTGTAAAGGAGGTGGGTTAAGGGCAGAAACTTGGCTGCCACTGGGACACCCTCCTTGGTGATGAGGGAAGGCAAATGAGACCATCAGGAAAGCCACAGAAGTCAGGGCCTGGTTCTCTGGCTAGGCCACCTCCCCACTGTGAAATAGGCAGTGTTCACACAGGGCGGCACACAGAAGCACTGCTGATTCCATGACAGTGTCCCATCACCCCCTTGTGCATTTTGAGGCCTGGTAAATTTTCTTTTTTTGTTATTGAAATGTTATAATGTCATTTATCTTTCCTGGATCTACATATGCTCCTCCTGCACTTATCATCCATTTTATTGGCTTTAAAATCGATATTGTGGCCAAAATACATCATATTTATTATTTTAATGATCAAGTGTGCACTTCAGGGGCATTAGAGACATTGACAATTCTGTGAAGTAAACTAAACATAATCCAAATCCAGATGTCTTACTTTCCGCCTTAGGAAACGAGAGAAAAAAGTGTAGTGTAATGTAAACAAGGCAACCCCCATCCCCCAAAACATAGCAATATTTGCAGAAATCAATGTAATAGAAACAATAAACAAAGAAACTCAACAATACCAAAAGCTGCTTCTTAGAAAAGATCAATAGAATTGGTAAACCTCCAGCCAGGCTAATCACAAAGAAAAGATAGAAGACATGATGTACAAATAATATGAATAGAAGAGGAATTATCCCTGCTTATCCCATGAACATTAAGAAAATAATAACAGAATACTTTCTTTTTTTTTTTTTTTTTTTTTTTTTTTGAGACAGAGTCTCACTCTGTCGCCTAGGCTGGAGTGCAGTGGTGTGATCTTGGCTCACTGTGAGCTCCGCCTCCTGGGTTCACACAATTCTCCTGCCTCAGCCTCCCGAGTAGCTGGGACTACAGGTGCCCGCCACCACGCCTGGCTAATTTTTTTGTATTTTTAGTAGAGATGGAGTTTCACCGTGTTAGCCAGGATGGTCTTGATCTCCTGACCTCATGATCCACCCGCCTCAGCCTCCCAAAGTGCTGGGATTACAGGCGTGAGCCACCCCACCTGGCCAATAACAGAATACTTTCAACAAATCTATGCCTGCAATTTTTAAGTGCAGCAGTGAAAGTATATTAAAAAGTTTTAGAGTAGGAATGACAGGAAGCACAGTACCGTTGGAAGAGAACCAAGTAGGCAACTGGTGAGATTCAAGTGTCTATGCCCACAAATTTCCTAGCTCAAATGAAATGGACAAATGCCTTCAAAAAGAGAAACTACCATAACCACCCAAAGGAGAGATAGATAATCTGAGTAGGCTTCTATCCATTATAGAATTTGATCAGTAAGTAATAACTTAAAAAAAAAAAATGCCCATATAATTATACTGGTGAATTCTACCTAACAATTACAATGGAAAACATAGTCTTACCAGCAAGTGATCAAAATTCTACATATTTACCCAGCTAAATTTAAAAATTATGTTCGTCTTAAAATCTGCACAAGAATGCGGGCAGCTTTATTCATAATTGCCCACACTGGAAGCAGCTGAGATGGTCTCCAGGAGGTGAGAGAACCAGCTAACACTGTTTGATGACACCAATGAGCTATTGTTCACTGCTAAGAATTACTAAGCTGTTAAATTTCAAAACAATACAAAAGATCTTACATGTATATTGCTAAGTAAAATAAGTTAGTCATAAGTAGCTACATAGCCTATGATTCCAACTCTATAAAATTCTGGAAAAGGAAACCTATAGAGGCAGTAAAATCATCTATGGTTGTCAGGAATCCTCAGAAAAGAAGACAGGAAGTAGTATGTGCAGCTCAGGTCATGTTTAGGGTGTGAAATTATTCCATCAGGGTGACAAACAACAATGTGAGTTTGTCAAAACCCATAGACTGGACAACACAGAGTGAACCTTATGCTAACCCTGGACTTCTGTTCGTAAGAATGTGTCAGTATTGGCTCAGTCATTGATGCTAACCCCGGACATCTGTTCATAAGAACATATCACTATTGGCTCAGTCATTGATGCTAACCCTGGACTTCTGTTCATAAGAATGTGTCACTATTGGCTCAGTCATTGATACCTTGGACATCTGTTCATAAGAATCTATCACTATTGGCTCAGTCATTGATGCTAACCCCGGACATCTGTTCATAAGAATCTGTACTATTGGATCAGTCATTGATGCTAACCCCTAGACTTCTGTTAACAAGAATGTGTCACTATTGGCTCAATCACTGATGCTAACCCTTGACTTCTGTTCATAAGAATCTATCACTATTGGCTCAGTCACTGATGCTAACCACAAACTTCTGTTGATACAGAATCTATCACTATTGGCTCAGCCATTGATGCTAACCTAGACTTTATTCTGTAGAATCTATCACTATTGGCTCAGTCATTGATGCTAACCTGGACTTCTGTTCATAAGAATCTATCACTATTAGCTCAGCCATTGATGCTAACCCTGGACTTCTGTTCATAAGAATCTATCACTATTGGCTCAGTCATTGATGCTAACCCTGGACTTCTGTTAACAAGAATGTGTCACTATTGTATCAGTCACTGATGCTAACCCTGGACTTCTGTCAATAAGAATCTGTCACTATTGGCTCAGTCATTGATGCTAACCCTGGACTTCTGTCCACCAAGAATCTGTCACTATTGGCTCAGTCATTGATGCTAACCCTGGACTTCTGTTCATAAGAATCTATCACTATTAGCTCAGTCATTGAGAGTGCTAACCCTGGACTTCTGTTCATAAGAATCTATCACTATTAGCTTAGTAAGTGATGCTCCCTGGACTTCTGTTCATAAGAATGTGTCACTATTAGCTCAGTCATTGTTACAAGCGTCATCACACTCATGTAAGATTGGCTCACAAAACAAAACTGAGGAAGGTGGGTATACGGAAATTTTTGATACCGCTTCCTCCATTTTTGGAGTTACTTCCAAACAGTTTGAAGTGATGTCCACCACTTTACAAACCTGGCAATACTGTCTCAGAAAAAGATCCTTTTTAGTTAATATTTTAACAATCAGCAAAATGTCTACAATTTGCACTGAGATGTTACTATTAAAGTAAACCCAAACTTGGAATGGAAATACACCTTTACTCTGTAGTTATAGCACTAATGACTTAACACATTTAAATATGCACATGTGGAATAAAAGAATATAGTATCACAATTTTTACAATTGTCTGAAATATGAGACACTGAAGAATCTGAGAAATCCTTATCATGAATGAACTGAACAACTGATTTCCACGATACCTTCCGTTGATCCAACTCCAGGAATTACATGGTCGTGATGCCAGTGGCGAGGAATTCCCTTCTTAGGCTTGTTGGTGGTGTCTGACGGGGGATTTCCTGGGCACCTCAGGATCCACTACTTCATCCTGGGTGGAACACGCTGGAAAATGAATTAAAATAAAGACAGCTGTTGATATCTTGCTGCAGAAGATCAGAGAAATGAGTCATTATTTATTCACAGCTTACATGTTTGATCCCATTGTTCATCATCTGCAGAGCAAAGCCCACGGAATCGAGTTTGGCTTCAGAAGGACTTACTGTGGGTTGCACCACAACTGTGCAGGCAAATGCCTGTAATGAGATGAGACATTACAGAAAGGTAGTAGGTGGAGTGACCAAGAGCATGAGGACTATGCTAACCCTGGACTTCTGTTCACAGAATCTATCACTATTGGCTCGATCATTGATGCTAACCCTGGACTTCTGTTCATAGAATCTATCACTATTGGCTCAGTCATTGATGCTAACCCTGGACTTCTGTTAACAAGAATGTGTCACTATTGTATCAGTCACTGATGCTAACCCTGGACTTCTGTCAATGAGAATCTCTGTCACTATTATGGCTCAGCCACTGATGCTAACCCTGGACTTCTCTTAACAAGAATGTATCACTATTGCCTCAGTCACTGATGCTAACCCTGGACTTCTGTTCATAAGAATCTATCACTATTAGCTCCAGTCATTGATGCTCACCCTGGACTTCTGTTCATAAGAATCTATCACTATTGGCTTATACATTGATGCTCACCCTGGACTTATGTTCATAAGAATGTGTCACTATTGGCTCAGTCCCATTTGTTACAAGCGTCATCACACTCATGTAGATTGGCTCACAAAACTAAACTGAGAGGTGGGTATACGGAAATTTTTGATGCCGCTTCCTCATTTTTAGGTTACTTCAAACAGTTTGAAGTGATGTCCACACTTTACAAACCTGGCAATACTGTCTCTAAGAAAAAGATCCTTTTTAGTTAATATTTTTAACAATCAGCAAAATGTCTCTTACAATTTGCACTGAAGTATTATTTACACACTAGTAAAAGTAAACCCAAACTTGGAATGGAAATACACCTTTACTCCTGTAGTTGTAGCACTAATGATTGACTTAACACATTTAAATATGCACATGTGGAATAAAGAATATAGTATCACAATTTTACAATTGTCTGAAATATGAGACACTGAAGAATCTAGAAATCATATCATGAATGAACTGAACAACTGAATTTCCACGATACCTTCCCGTTGATGCCCAACTCCAGGGTGTACATGGTCATGATGCCAGTGACGGAGAATTCCCTTCTTAGGCTTGTGGTGAGAGATTGTCTGACGGGGGGATTTCCTGGGAACCTCGGGATCCACTACTTCATCCTGGGTGGAACACGCTGGAAAATGAATTAAAATAAAGACAGCTGTTGATATCTTGCTGCAGAAGATCAGAGAAATGAGTCATTATTTATTCACAGCTTGTGTTTGATCCCATTGTTCATCATCTGCAGAGCAAAACCCCTGAATCCGAGTTTAGCTTCAGAAAGGACTTACACTGTGGGTTGCACTTACAACTGTTAAGGCAAATGCCTGTATTGAGATGAGACATTACAGAAAGGTAGTAGATTGGAGTGACCAAGAGCATAGGGACTATGCTAACCCTGGACTTCTGTTCATAAGAATCTATCACTATTGGCTCAGTCATTGATGCTAACCCTGGACTTCTGTTCATAAGAATCTATCACTATTGGCTCAGTCATTGATGCTAACCCTGGACTTCTGTTAACAAGAATGTGTCACTATTGTATCAGTCACTGATGCTAACCCTGGACTTCTGTCAATAAGAATCTGTCACTATTGGCTCAGCCACTGATGCTAACCCTGGACTTCTCTTAACAAGAATGTATCACTATTGCCTCAGTCACTGATGCTAACCCTGGACTTCTGTTCATAAGAATCTATCACTATTGGCTCAGTCATTGATGCTCACCCTGGACTTCTGTTCATAAGAATCTATCACTAGCCCAAGCAGCCAAAACTGATGCTCACCCTGGACTTATGTTCATAAGAATGTGTCACTATTGGCTCAGTCATTGTTACAAGCGTCATCACACTCATGTAAGATTGGCTCACAAAACTAAGCCTTCAGGAGAATTGGGTATCACGGAAATTTTGATGCCGCTTCCTCCATTTTTAGGTTACTTCCAAACAGTTTGAAGTGATGTCCACCACTTTACAAACCTGGCAATACTGTCTCAGAAAAAGATCCTTTTTAGTTAATATTTTAACAATCAGCAAAATGTCTACAATTGGTGTTTGCACTGAGATGTTATTTACTATTGTAAAGTAAACCCAAACTTGGAATGGAAATACACCTTTACTCCTGTAGTTGTAGCACCTTTATTAATGATTGACTTAACACATTTAAATAATATACATGTGGAATAAAAGAATATAGTATCACAATTTTATAATTGTCTGAAATATGAGACACTGAAGAATCTAGAAATCATATCATGAATGAACTGAACAACTGAATTTCCACGATACCTTCCGTTGATGCAACTCCAGGAGTACATGGTCCGTGATACCAGTGGACGGAGGAATTCCCTTCTTAGGCTTGTGGTGGTGTCTGACGGGGTTCTGGGCACCTCAGGATCTCTTCTTCCTGGATGGAACACGCTGGAAAATGAATTAAAATAAAGACAGCTGTTGATATCTTGCTGCAGAAGATCAGAGAAATGAGTCATTATTTATTCACAGCTTACATGTTTGATCCCATTGTTCGTCATCTGCAGAGCAAAGCCCCCTGAATCCGAGTTTGGCTTCAGAAAGGACTTACACTGTGGGTTGCACTTACAGCTGTGCAGGCAAATGCCTGTATTGAGATGAGACATTACAGAAAGGTAGTAGATTGGAGTGACCAAGAGCATAGGGACTATGCTAACCCTGGACTTCATTCATAAGAATCTATCACTATTGGCTCAGTCATTGATGCTAACCCTGGACTTCTGTTCATAAGAATCTATCACTATTGGCTCAGTCATTGATGCTAACCCCGGACTTCTGTTCATAAGAATCTATCACTATTGGATCAGTCATTGATGCTAACCCTGGACTTCTGTTCATGAAATCTATCACTATTGGCTCAGTCGGTGATGCTAACCTGGACTTTCTGTTCATAAGAATCTATCACTATTGGATCAGTCATTGATGCTAACCCTGAACTGTTAACAAGAATGTGTGTCACTATTGTATCAGTCACTGATGCTAACCCTGAACTTCTGTCCGCAAGTCTGTCACTATTGGCTCAGCCGTTGATGCCCTGGACTTCACAACCATAAGAATCTGTCACTGTTGGCTCAGTCATTGATGCTAACCCTGGACTACTCTTAACAAGAATGTATCACTATTGGCTCAGTCACTGATGCTAACCCTGGACTTCTGTTCATAAGAATCTATCACTATTAGCTCAACCATTGGTGCTAACCTGGACTTCTGTTCGCAAGAATCTATCACTAGTAGCTCAGTCATTGATGCTAACCCTAGACTTCTGCTCATAGAATGTGTTACTATTGGCTCAGTCATTGATGCTAACCCTAGACTTCTGCTCATAGAATGTGTTACTATTGGCTCAGTCATTGATGCTAACCCTAGACTTCTGTTCATAAGAATGTGTCTCTATTGGCTCAGCCATTGATGTTAACCCTAGACTTCTGTTCATAAGAATCTATCTATATTAGCTCAGTCATTGATGCTAACCCTGGACTTCTGTTAACAAGAATGTGTCACTATTGTATCAGTCACTGATGCTAGCCTGGACTTCTGTCCATAAGAATCTGTATCTCAATGAAAACCAGCCACTGAGTGCTAACCCTGGACTTCTCTTAACAAGAATGTATCACTATTGGCTCAGTCACTGATGCTAACCCTGGACTTCATTCATAAGAATCTATCACTATTGGCTCAGTCATTGATGCTAACCCTGGACTTCTGTTCATAAGAATCTATCACGCAATGGCTTAGCCGTGGTGCTCACCCTGGACTTCTGTTCATAAGAGAATGTGTCACTATCGCTCAGTCATTGTTACAAGCGTCATCACACTCATGTAGATTATTACAAAAACAAAACTGAGGACGGTGGGTATCTGAGAATTTTGATGCCTTCCTCCATTTTTATGTTACTTCCAAACAGTTTGAAATTGATGTCCATAGCACAAACCTGGCAATACTGTCTCAGAAAAGATCCTTTTTAGTTAATATTTTAACAATCAGCAGAAATGTCTACAATTTGCACTGAGATGTTATTTACTATTAAAAGTAAACCCAAACTTGGAATGGAAATACACCTTTACTCCTGTAGTTGTAGCACTAATGATTGACTTAACACATTTAAATATGCACATGTGGAATAAGTAGTATCACAATTTTACAATTGTCTGAAATATGAGACACTGAAGAATACAGAAATCATATCATGAATGAACTGAACAACTGAATTTCCACGATACCTTCCAGTGGAACTCCAGGGTGTACATGGTCGTGATGCCAGTAGCAGGAGGAATTCCCTTCTTAGGCTTGTGGTGGTGTCTGGCCAGGGGGATTTCCTGGGCACCTCAGGATCCACTACTTCTTCCTGGATGGAACACGCTGGAAAATGAATTAAAATAAAGACAGCTGTTGATATCTTGCTGCAGAAGATCAGAGAAATGAGTCATTATTTATTCACAGCTTACATGTTTGATCCCATTGTTCGTCATCTGCAGAGCAAAGCCCCCTGAATCTGAGTTTAGCTTCAGAAGGACTTACACTGTGGGTTGCACCCACAACTGTGCAGGCAAATACCTGTATTGAGATGGGCATTACAGAAAGGTAGTAGATTGGGTGACCAAAGGCGTAGGGTCTGGTGCATAGGATCTGGCTCAAGGACTTTTGAGAAGCTGCTAGAACTTGAGGAAGTTCTATAGACCCCTCCTGGGCCTCCCGATCCCTAGTCTGAATGTGAAATGTTGATAATGGACACTACATTATGTTAAAGAGTAAAAATAGTTAAACAGACCGCAAAGCCTTAAGACGGGTGCTTCTAAAGTGCCATAAAGTGTTCAAGTATTTCATGTCTGGAAGAAGAACCCAGGCCCTTGGTAGTGGTTAATAGAGAAGGAACTGGGGACTCCAGGGCAGTGGAGGGTAAAATTCTCTTCATTCTTGACATGGGTCCCGTGCTTTAGAACTCATGAAATTTCTGTCGAATTTCCCGTGGTGCCCACATCAGCCCAGAGAGACCAAGGCAGGCAGGGAGCTGCCCACTCAGAAGTTGTGGTTCAGGGAAGTGAAATGAAAAGGAGGAATTTGAAAGCGTGCCTGCCCAGATTCACAGCACTGACCAATGATAGATCTAGGACAAGAATTCGGTTGATTTTCCGGGGACAGAGATCCTGAACACCTGAGGCCTCTAAATCACTTGGCCCGGACCCTGAACCTGGAGCTCATTCCACTCCCTTTCTCAATCCCTCTACCAAGGCTCTTCAGGAAGGTCGAGGTATTGGAGAGAGACGTGCACAGGTCAGAAAAAGCTCGAATCCTTAAACAAATCATAACTTTCCTGTCTCTAGGTTTTAACTCTGGGCTAAAATATGGCACTTTCCTGCAAATGAAGCCTCTCTGAGGAACAAATGCAAATGTCTGGTCATCACAGCACCCTGTATTGTCTCTCTGGTGAGCAGCCCTCCATGACCAACTGACCACACCAAGGGACCAAGTTCTGCTTGGCCCCCAGGGTAGTTCAGAACTTAGGACATTCCAAACTAACTACCACTTGATGGCTGTGCCAAGAATAAAATTCCGTTCAACTGAACCATCTGAACAAACAACATTAGTAGAATGAACTGAAAATGTGGCACTCCAGTTGGGTTTCAGTGGTTTCTTCTGTATCCTAGTCTGTAGAAATGGTGTGTTAAAAAAAAAAAAAAAAAAGTGCTGTAATCCCAGCACTTTGGGAAGCCAAGGTGGGCAGATCACAAGGTCAGGAGTTCAAGACCAGCCTGGTCAATATGGCGAAACCCCGTCTCTACTAAAAATACAAAAATTAGCCAGGCATGGTGGCAGGTGCCACGTAGTCCCAGCTCACTTGGGAGGCTGAGGCAGGAGAATCGCTTGAACCTGGGATGCAGAGGTTGCAGAGAGCTGAGATCATGCTACTGCACTCCTTCTGGGTGACAGAACAAGATACTGGGGGAGGAAAAGGGGGCAGGTGCTGTGGCTCATGCCTGTGTCCCATCACTTTGGAAGCCCAAGGCAGGTGGATCAGGAGGTCAGAAGTTCAAGACCTAACTTGCCAACATGGTGAAACCCTGTCTGTACTAAAAATACAAAAATTAGCCAGGCGTGGTGGCGGATGCCTGTAATCCCAGCTACTCTGGAGACTGAAGCAGGAGAATTGCTTAAACCCGGGAGGTGGAGGTTGCTGTGAGCTGAGATCATGCCACTACACTCCAGCCTAGGCAACAGAGCAAGACTCTGTCAAAAAAAGAATAGCATTGGAAATAGTGTATCTTTCTAGAGGAAAATATTTGAGGCAAAAATCTTGATAGAAGAATAAAAAACACAAATTGAGTAATAAAACTCTAAAACATATTTATAAATCTGTAGACAAATGGGACTTGGGGAAATAAAAAAAAAATCAGAATGACATTTAATGTACAGGAAAACTGGCCCATCTGAAGAAACTGCAGTCAGAAGATAGAAATGAACATACATACCATCGAGGCAGCAACTACAAACGTTTCCCATTGTGAGTCCTCGGACATAAGCTGTTTCCCTGCCAACGCTCACTGGGAATGGCAGCTAAAATGAAGGCAGACCTATATCATCAGGTCACCTCAGCGACAAGTCACAGTAGAATTTTTCGCAAGCATACGTGTCACAATAGCTGTGATCTAGACCAGTCCATGGTCACATCAACAAGGGGTCACTTAGACTCCATGTTTCATTTCAAAAACTGAATCCCAGACACACAGTATTATTCTGTATGTATGAAACAAACATTAAAGGAGGAAAAAGATCTGCCTCTCCAATATATTTGATAGTGAAAATTTCAGAGTAAAGATAAGAAAAGCTAATACATTGAGAATAAAGGGAGATTCCAGGCTGGATGTAAGGCCATGCCCCACCCAATTCTACTATTCCCAAGTCACCAGAGAGTCCTAGCTTCAACAATTCTAAACTAGCTCTAAATTAAATTTAAAATGCATTAGTGTAAGTTCAATTTTAAAGCCAATCTCTAAGAATATAATTCATAGTAATAAAAAAGATATGAAATGATTCAGTACAAATTTCCATCACTGTTGATTCATCACACGTTTTAAGAACTATTACATCAAATGGGTCATTGATGAAATTATAAAAACTGCATTAATATAGATGTTGCAATTTTTTTTCAGGGATTATCTAATTGAAGGGGTGTTTGGGAAGGGTGAAGGTATTTGGGAAGGAACACATATTACCTGTATAAATGGAGAATTTTAATTCTCAACAACTGAATAGAAAATTGTGCAGGTGTGTACATATAAATAT